AGCTGATCTAATCTCATCTAATCTCGTCCAATCCCATTTCATCTCATCTCATCTGATAGCATCTAATCTCTTGTTATCTCATCTCATCTCATCTCTTCTCATCTCATCTCATCTTGTCTCATCTCATCTCTTCCCCTCCCACCTATTCTCATCTCATCTCATCACATCCCATTTAATCTCTTATAATCTCTTCTCATCTCATCTTCTCTCTTCCCCTCCCACCTAATATCTTCTCATCTCACCTCATTTAAACTCCCCCCTTCTTGATTTTACCTTCTTAACCATTCCTTCTAACTTCCATCATCTCATATCTCATGTAACCATGCCCTTAATCTACCCTCTTTGTTATTTTTTCAGGAACGAGGCATCGATCTTATGTCACCTGGACAGCGTCTGGAGGCCGTTGACAAGAGATGTCCTATGTTAATCCGTGTGGCAAACATTGTCTCAATAAATCCACATGGTCTGGTGACCGTGAACTATGATGGCTGGGCGGATAAATACAACATATGCGTAGAAGCAGACTCACCTGATCTCTTCCCAGTCGGTTACTGTCAGGCTACAGGACAGAATCTGCAGCCTCCCCCTTTATGTAAGTTGGCCAGTTGGAAAGCTATTAAATCCATGCTTTTATTCAATAATTATGAATAATCTATACCATATGCTCATTATCGTCTATTGTGAGTTAAAAATCGCCGAGTGTTTTATCGAGTTGGCCAAGGCTAGTAACCCATATCCCTATGCTCTTTACTCTTATTAGATGTCTACTGGCCAGTCACCTCGTAGCTTAACTTTTGATTTTTCAGCTTCTTAAACCCATCTATAGCAACTACGTCTTGTGTATAAGGACACAAGTACATCCGCCGTTAGTCTTATCATGAATGGTCTTTATTCACTTCATGAAGACTATACTAAAATGCTAAGTTCAAAAAAAATATTTTGCTGTTTTTTATATTTTCCTAACTAAGATCCGTTCAAATTCTTATGATAATTCGACGTATACTTTTAAGGCCGTGGAAGCTTTTGCGCAGAAATTAGAATCACTCGTATGGGCAGTCATACATAAGTAGGGGACGTATTCACCCTA